AGAACTGGAAAAATATGTACTGCGAAAACGATGGGGTTGAGTGCGAAAACATCTTGGGAGAAAAGATAACCTGCAAAAAAGAAAACGTCTTGACGGAAGAAAAGAAACAATTGTACACTGAAAAGATTCTCCCCGGCGCTGTCAAACTGCACGCGGAGCGGCTACTTGTGAGACCCACTCCTGAGAAGATAACAGTTCCGAGGACTATGGGAAGTCCGTGCGACAGGTTTACAGTTCCTACTGAACACAAAAGTGGTGGTGTGCCTAATTTTGATTTTATCATTTACGCTGCTGCTGGGCCGTCAAATACTGAAAGCATGGCTGTGTGGGCGGCAACGTGTAACACATGGGGAGATCTTCGCCCCTCCATTGGCGCCATGAACTTTGATCCAAAGTACATGACTGACACGGCGTGGAGCGTTCGCGTTGCCGCACACGAAATTGCGCATGCTCTTGGGTTCAGTAAAGAGAGTATTGAAGGAAACAGCATCGAAACTACAAGGAAAATTGTGCGTGGGAATCACCGCAGGATGGTGGCAGGGAAGCACGTTCAGGAGAAGACGAAAGCGCACTTTGGTTGTGAGTCTCTCGAGGGCATGGAACTGGAGGACGAAGGTGGCACTCGGGAAAAAGCCATCCCTCACTGGAAGGGACGCCACGCGCTAGACGAGCTGATGGCTCCCACAGTCGGTGCCGGCTACTACACGGCTCTGACGATGGCGGTGTTTGCGGATATGGGATACTACCGCGTGAATTGGAGCATGGCGGAGCCGATGAGCTGGGGCAGAAGCACTGGCTGCGACTTCCTGGTCAACAAGTGCAATACAACCGATAATCTTGCCGCCAAGTATCCTCACATGTTCTGCGATGCTAAAGACACAGAGACGCTTCGCTGCACCTCCGACCGCCGTCACGTCGGGACGTGCACCGCAACTATTGTTGAAGACAAGGGGATTCCTGCGGATAAGGACGTTTGCCCTGTTGTATCTTCTGAATTTCACGAAATATCGTCTGGGACAACGTACAGGACGTGCTCGGACGAAAATGTGTATTATCTCCCTTGGTCGCTGACTGGCAGTGGCTCGTGGTGCCTGGACGCGGAATTACTGGAGACGAAGGACGGTGATGGCCATAAAAGCGTTAGGGGAGTGTGCGCGCAGGTGTCGTGTGATGAGGGCACAGTGAGGGTGAAGTACCTCGGTAACACTGACGTGTGGCGTGATTGCCCCGATGGCGGAGAAATCCAAGTGACGTTGGATGGTTTTAAGCAAGAAGGAAAGATCAAGTGCCCGAGGTACGGCGAGGTGTGCACCATTGCCGCCAACGGCAGCAGTCTTGTCATTCCGAGTGCGTTGGAGGATTATAAAGGAAACAAGCAAGAGGAGGAAGTAGAAGAGTCTGTGGTTGCTCCGCCGTTGCCTCCTGCAGAAGAACCTTATGAAGAAGAACCACGTGCAGCAGCGTCTTCTAACGAAGAATCTCATGCAGAAGCGTCCATTGCAGGCAAAATTTCTGAAGCTCCAGTGGTTCAAGCGGCATCGCAGCAGCCTCAACAAGAAAGTAAAGCAGGGCAAAATGCAACGGTGGGGGAACCTGCCACTGCACAGCAATTGCCGGCGAATACATCGCAGGGAAGTGTGGAGAGGGCGGCGGCTTCGAACTCCCATGCCGTTGGAGGAGCAACGGGTGATGGCGGCACTGTGCGTGTGAGCGGAATGGTGATGCCGCTGCTTCTTCTGTTGGGACTGTGGGGGTTTGTGGCTCTGTGAGGAGTGAGTGACTGCCGCGTGGGACACTTGCGCCCTCCCGCGCACAGAAATAATATTCCCATAGGAACGAATTTCTCTAACAAAGCTTTTCTTTACGTTTGATGTAAAATATCATTATTGTTTTTTTTTCTTTTTACTTTTCTTGTTCTTTTCTCTCATCCCCCGCCATTCCTCTTTTTTTTTTTTTTTTTGCTTTTGGGGCAATCACTATGAACGTTTTTTCTTTTCTACTCTTCCCTCTTTTAATTGTTTCTTCTGCGCTCTTCCTGTGAGGGGTGCCGTGTGTTTCCCGCCCAACTGCTCCACTCGCACACCCACCGACACGCTCATGACGACGGCCCTGTGCGCCTCGCCTGCTGCACGCATGAGGAGGGGCCGCGACGAACGGCGCGCTGAGGGAGCCGTGACGTGTGGGCGTGCGACGAGGGCCTGTGGGGCGGAGCACACATTTCTTTCCCTCTTGTTTTCCTTTATTGCGGCCAGGGCGGGCAGACACCCGCAGCACCACACACACAGTTAAACCCTGCCTCCGTGTTTTTCTTTTCTGTGGATGGGTGTGTGCTGCTGCCACCGTGCGGTGATGGATGGCGGAGAGCTGTGCCGGACGTATTGCCGACGGACCACTGTGCATTCTTACTGTCTTCTTTACTTAATGGGTGTCTGCTACATACCGTCATGAGTGAAGTGTTTTCTTTTATTGTTTGCTTTTTACTGCCCAAATTCGGTGCCGGCTCCGCGGCTGTGCGTCCCACGGAATGCACGAAACGATGATTGGAAGAACAGGGCGGATGCCGCACGAAATGTGAAGAATGTTGTGTTTGCTAGTGAAACAGTAAGGTCTTTTCCTTGATTTTTTTTTCTTGTTGCAGGCAATACGCATACACAAACACATGACTGTATGGTACTCCTTGGCGCATAAGATAAACGTCTTTCCGAATCAATTTTTCCTTTTTTTATGATATTTTTGGGATTTCTTCTGGACTCCCACCTTTTTTCTTTTTTTTTTTTTGGGAAATCGCTGCGGTTCATTTTTTTTTTTTTTTTTCCTTTGCGGTGTTCACTGGCGCTGAGTACTTAATTGTCCCGTTGAGTGTCCCTCTGGTAGCTGTGCTGTTGAAATGCCCTCATTTCTTTTTATTATTGTTTTTGCTAGAAGCATCGATGGTCCGCGACGACGATTGTTTGTGCTCCCCATTGCGATGGCACGAGGGTGACTAGGCGCCCTGCCCCGGCCTGCTGAGTGCACTTGGAGGGGAGCGGATGGTGTGCGCCGTGCCTCACTGTGGGTGTGGAACACCAATCCGTCGGAGAAGAGAGAAGTAAAGGGCAGCGCCGTGGATTTGAATTTGACCCGTCGCTCTTGTTGCGGCCTTTTTTTTTTGCGGTGCGAAGTAGATGGCGGTGCTTCTGCGTGCGTTGTACTGCAGGCTTTTCTTCTCCATTTTTTTGTCTTGTTGTGTGTGGGGAAGCTGTGGGAGAGGATATGTGTGGGAGAGTGAGTATGGGTGGCTGCCAGCACCGCCCTGTGCATTGGGACTTCCATACACGTGGCTTTGCTTGACGGCGTTTTGCGGCACCCAGGGCGCAGCGAGGAGGAGGATGGGGAGGGTCTGTTGTGGGCAGAAGGAGGATGGACAGGACAGTCCCCTTCCGTGTCCTTCCCCGTTTCGTTGGCAGTACATACTGAGAGCATAAATTTGAGCGAGTGCGGGATGAAAGGTTTATGCCGTTTTGCGTGTGCTACTCAATCGTCGTCATTGCACGTTGTCGTCACGGTGCGTTGTGGTGCGGTGCTGTTTGATGAGGGAAGGGTGCGATGCCACGGCTGCTGCTCACCACAACCATTTATTGCCTCTGCATCAGCATTGTTTGTTTTTTGTTTTTTTTGCTTCACGATGAATTTGTTGGAGGAGCTTTGGTTTTGGTGCCTGCTTCACGGCGCTTCGCCTTGTGTGTCGGTTGCGGTGCTTCCACGTGGTTCCAAAGCGTTTGATGGGGTGTTCACCCTTCTTTTTGCGTCCTGCAGCCGACCTTGTTTGGCCATGGCGGCAGCAGTGGGACTCTGCGACTGCGTGCTTGCCGTGCGTCTCTCATATTTTGCCGTTGCCCCCTCTTTGTGTTGGTGGGGGAGGAGGCGAACGACTGCGTCGGTGGAGTTGCGCTCCAGTGGGAGAGGGAAGGCGCTGACCGCCGCTGACGGTGACGGTCTTTGCTGCAGGCGGTCTGACGGGAAGACGTCACCGGTGTCACAGTCAACCGAGGTGGATGAGGGCCGCACTGCGTCTCTGTCCCCTCTCTTCGTCCTCTCAGTCCACTGCAGTCACAACCGCCGCGCGGCATCTGCACGACTACCATCCGGACGTCTGTGAGCCAATCGGAATGCAATCGACATGGACCCTTTTCCTCGTGTTTGAGTGCCGCCGTGCTTCTTTGTTCCCTTCTTTGTGCGATGCCGTGCGCGCATGGTGCCGCTGCTTGCTGCACAATGCCGACTCGCGTGAACGAGAAACGATGCTTTGACTGCTGGCGACCGGCGAGCTCTCCACTCCACTTACGCACCACCAACAACAGCACCTTTCGGACGCGCTTGATGGCTGGCGGTCGTAACGCTGCCACGTGGTCTGCCTCGGCTCTTGTGTGTTGTGCACGGCATCGGGATCGCCCTGTGATGCAGCCATTTGGTAAAAAGAGCGGTGCCAGTGGTCATGTGGCTTTTTGCCGAGATTCCGCCACTCAGCACGGTGGCTGTACGGGGTTGTGTGGGTGGTGGGAGGGTGATGGTGTCACTGACTTGATTGCGTCAGCGCGGCTTTGCTTCGGCAGTTGTACTGTGATGGGGATGGTGTATGACCGGATGTTTTTGCGTGCCACTGTGTTTGTTTACTGTTTTTGCTGCCTTTATTCTTATTTTGACGAAGTAATTAGAGATACTTTTGCTTGACCAGCACAACTATCGTTTCAAGGTGTTAGGAATACTTGCAGT